TGCACTCCATTATCAAAAAATCCAACCGGGTCAGCAGCCACCTCAAACACCTCACAGGAATTTCACCCCAGGTATATTACTGCTGCTGGCTAAGTCTCTTAACCTAGGTGGAGGGAGGACTGCCTGAGTGTTGTGAATGAAAACGTGTTTGTTCTGATCTGTCTTTCTCTTGTCTTTTTTTCCAGATTAAAGATGAAGCATTTGATGAGGCTGAGAAGAGGTTCAGGCTGCAGGAGAGACTAATCAAGTCTTTTATCAGGGACATTTCCTTGTACCTGCAACATATACGGGTACGTAATCGCCAACAACTGTGAGTCTTTGCGTATTTGACCATATCAAAGTAGACATACTTACATAAACATGCAGTGCCTAATTCATGCCATTTTTAATCTAATCGCATCTTAAGTATTTCCAAAATCTTGCTGTGTACTTGTCTAATTAAGTTCTTGATTAAATATTCAGCCTAATTTAAATTTTGTCATATAATATTAATATATTGTGATAAAATGTTTCTCTTTAGGAATCAGCATCTGTGAAGGTCTTAGCAGCCATCAGTTTCTGTGACATCTACACAGAGCGCAGTGTCCTCGACCCCGAGCGCTTCCAGAGAGCTCACCGCTGCATCAGCGACAAACAGTTCACACAATTTGTAAGTCTTCTCTCTCTCTTTAGCCTCACTTAGCTGTTCTAGAAATGCATTGGGAATGACCGCTGATCACATTATCTGTCAACTCCCTTCTCTCATTCCCTGAGCAGAAGGAACGCACAGAGGCCTTAGTCATCAACCCGCTCACCCAGCTCCTCCTCATGTTCGCTGGGCCGCACAAACTCATCCAAAAGCGCTTTGACAAGCTGCTGGACTACGACAACTGCAAGGAGCGCGCCGACCGCCTCAAGGACCGCCGTGTCCAGGACGAGCTGCAGGTGGCACGCAACAACTACGAGGCGCTCAACGCCCAACTTTTGGACGAGCTGCCCAAGTTCCACTGTGCAGCGGAGGAGCTGTTTACTGGCTGTGTGAGGGCTTTCGCTCAAGCTCAGAAGGACTTCATGAAGACGACAATGGGAGAGCTGAAGCCCCTCCTTAACGCTGTGAGTGTGCCTTGTTGTTGAAGTTGGACACTTATATGTCGTAGTACTTGTTGCCACATTCTGTTACTAAGTCAGACCTTTTTCTCTACCTCCAGTTTTCTAACAAAGCTGGCACAGAGAGCAACCTGATTGCACAGTTCCAGGAAGAGTATGGACGAGTTCTCCAGCTTCTGCAGGGCTTCAGCTTCTGTCCAGAGAACCTGCCTCCGGCCACCTCCACAAAAAAGCCCTTCGAGAAGAAGACTCTGGAAAAGCAGACTTCTAAAAAGTCACTGCAGGGATCTGTGAGTTGGACTCTCATGCTATTTGTGCCATAGAGATATTTTAATAAGTAATGCAGGAGGAGTTTCACCACTGCAACACGATCTAACCATGAGTCTTGTCCTGGTTCCTTTCAGCCCAACTACACCACACAGACAGATGAGCACCGTGCAGCACTTCTGGTACGCTACGGTCCTGAGAAACTTTACCAGGCAGATAGAAACTTCAATGCAGCCCAGGATCTGGATGTCTCTATACAAGAGGGAGACCTTGTGGGTGTGATCAAGCAGCAGGACCCCATGGGTAGCAACAACCGCTGGCTAATTGATAATGGAGGTAGGTCATTTGTACTCCAATCAGCCACATATTTTGAGGTCTGAGCTTGTGATTTTGGGGGAAAATGGCACAGCGATAAAATCTAATTTCATGTCTTCTCTTACTTTTTTTAATTTGCAGTCACCAAGGGTTTTGTCTACACCTCCTTCCTCAAACCCTACAACCCACGCAGGAGCCAATCAGACGTGTCCATCGAGAGCCAATCGTCCAATGAGTCAGGTTATGGCGGCTCCTCCCCTGTTTTCTCCCGCCAAAACAGCAACAGCACACTGACCTTTAACCAGGAAAACGCCACCGTCAGCTTTTCCACATCTCAGCCCCAAAGTCATTCATCGCCACACCCTTCGCTGGACTCTGCCTCATCCCGTAGGAGTCACCACAGAGACGTACCCAACCCTGACTCTGCCAGTCAGAGCAACTCCATAAACTCATCGCCCCGAAATCCCTCAAACCGCAGGGAATTCTCAGACCAAACACACCGAAATTCCCCCAGTCACAGAGACACAGAGCCTTCTTACCGGCATTCAGGCAATCACAGAGACACGTACGATACGAGTTATGCAAGTACGAGCAGCCAGAAGGAGATGTCGGACCTCTCGGAGACAGAGTCTTATTCTTCACACAGAAACAGTCGCTCACAGCGGTATGGACACACAGACAAATCCTACAGTTCATACCAGTGGAGAAATGGAGATAACGGTGGCCAGAAGAGGTCTACTTACTCCAGAGATGAGTACATCGAACCGGAGCCAGAACCAGAACCAGAACCAGAACCAGAACCAGAGAGTGAATTAGATGGTCATCAGGTGAGATTTTTGACTGATATGAGACATTTAGACATCAGACATTTACCATACAAAAATAAGAGTAGACACTTTATCACGTGAACTTTAATCTGACAAAAACAACTTTTTTGAAAAACTTTTTGTTTGTAGAAAAATGAAACAAGCTTTGTAAAAACTGGTGTGGCGTGCACCAGTTTGCCGTAGTGCTATCCTTGATATTACCACCAGATGGTGCCAAAAAGGGGAATTATAAAAAACACAAAATTTTGAAAAATACTGTTAAAAATCGATTTATTTAAAGCTATATTAATCAATATGTGTATTATTAACAACAGGATAAAAGCCTCCAAATGAATGCTAATGTTGTAAATGGGCAACTTTTAATGTGTTTGCCTTTCGTCAATGTTATGCTTACAGTTTATTCCGCTGCAGAAATCATTCAATAATACTGCTTTTAAGATTGAAAAAACACAAACTAACATTGTTTTTATTCATTTGTTTATTTTTAGATTTACTACGCTATCTACTCCTTTGAAGCCCGTTGCGCCAATGAAATGAGCATCACAGCAAATCAGCGGCTGCGGATACTGGAGTTCCAGGACTTGAACGGCAACAGTGAATGGTGGCTGGGAGAGGCAGAAGGCCGGCGAGGCTATGTGCCTTCCAACTACATCCGCAAATCAGAATATACATGAACATGAAGTTTTATTATGCAGATGGTACCTGAGACTGTACTTTGAACTTAAGGAGGCTCACTGTGCGAGCAGACAGAACAAAAAGACAGACAAGCATCTGGACACGCTGTGACTTATTTCTGATCTGTTGTCATGGAGTTTGATAGTGAGGACTGACTATTGCTGCTGACTCTGCTCCCATACGTTAGCATTATATGCCTATATTTATAGACTTTTTATATTATTTTTACTTACTGGAAACTGTACCCTACCCCCTAATTTTCCAGTTTCTGGTGAAAAACCTGTGAATTGCACCAGATTTTATGGCATATTCTCTGGGCCTGAAGACAATGAATTGTATGTTTTAAGAGAACAGTCTTAAAGGTTAGCACATTGGGAGATTGCAATGGAAATGTGAATATTCTGGGTTCAGACTGGTTCTTCTAAACAAATATCAAGTGGTATGCAGACAGACTGACCTAAACACTGTGTTAATTACTTTTTTTCTGCATGTGGTTTATTGCACCACTAGAATGATGCATGGATATTAGATGCATTTACACCATACTGTTAAACAATCAAAGGTTGAGGCACTTATGATGATTATCCACTGGTTGCTAGTTTTGAAGTGTCTGTGGAGCCATCAACAAGGATTTGGAGTGTTGTATGAAATTAATATGGACTATCTGAAGTAAAACCAAGGACGAAGTTGAATGGCATATGATTTCTGGTTTACAAGCACTCCCCCTTGTCAGTAACCTGAATATGTTTTTTGACTGGGTTGACGCTGCAAACAAGTCATGACCCATTTTACCTGTCAGAGGAGGTTAACAAACAGGGAGAGAGAGAGAGATAGTGGTCGGATCTTAACTCTGATTTCTCCACATACTCCCCATGTATATTATATATAGTGCTGTATATTGAGAATATGCTATTGCTCCCACTGTAAAGTGATCACTGTTTGAATAAAAAACAGCACAGCTGACAAATCACAACTGTGTCTGAAATAATGTTTTTGTTCATTTTTGTTGTTTGTCATTTGTTGTTGTAGTGGAAGATCATCATGGTGTTTTGTCCGGGTTTTTTGACATGTTTAGGGTTATTGATGACATACCACACAAAGATCAGTTGAGGTCAGAGCTTCCCTCCAGCGCCAGAACACACCACGACGGACTTTGAAAATCACTTGGAGCTACATTAGTAATGCAAATGTTAAAAATGCATGCGTAAGGTGTAGGGTGCACTGTGATACATTGCATATCTGTGCAAGTTAATTTTATGCTTTGTTTAGTTAACTTTATTTTAAAAAACTGACACATTTAAACATATATCATAACTATGATATGGTCTGTATAAAGATAATCTGTAAACAAACTGGGCTGTACACCATTTTCACCAGGTCCTTTTAACTGTAGTAGCAATTACTTTCAGAGTTCCAGTGTCATGTAGAAGAAGTATATAGAATAAAAGGATATTTGCAGTGTAATATTGTGTAATGGTATTTTGCATATTTCAGCTGCTTGCACTAACAAAGCAAATCCCATCTTGCATATTGAGAAACCTCAGGTCAGTAATGTAAAGCTAAAAATATATAGAGAGATTTAATTAATAAATTTAGGGAGAACAAAGGCGCTTTTTGTATTCTTTTAATATGTTTTTAATGAGAGCTACTTGCTTACTGTCTTTACTTTTTGATGACCTCAACACAAATAAAGGTCACAGGGCAAAAAAGATAAAGTATTGAATCACATGTAACTCCTGTCAAATCAATGCAGGGTCCTAATGATTAACAGGTGGGTGGAGTGTTTTGAGGGTCTCCCTATTATTTAAGACTTGTCTAAGCAAAAAGCAAACCATAGACTTTACACTGGCCCCATTATGGTGAGGGTCTACATCAACATGAGCTGCTTAATAGCTTTGCTCTTACAGCTGTGTGCACTCACTGCGCTTGGACAGGAGTTGTATGTAAGTATACGCATAGAATATGATAAATTCCATTTTATTATTTATTTATCAATACTTATTAAAACAGTCATAAATCATTTATATATTTTCAATTTGTTTCAGGTAATCACAGAAACAGATGACGCTGATGGTAAAAACACTTATTAGTTTCCAGTTAACTAAAACTTGACTTTATTGACTGTAATGCTTAAATTCCTCTTTTTTCCTCACAGATTATTATTATTATGATTATCCCACTGAAAGCCCTGCAGAAGACTTGGATTTGACTCTAGATGACTGGTTGTATGAACTCATGAATATCTCAGGTAAATTACCTCTAGCGCTCCCCCTCAAGGGTTTTATTGCCTGTATATACTGAATGTACTTTGCAGTTTATCTCCTCTGTTGTAAGATGCATTGATCAAGACATCCAAACCATCAATTGTACTCTGCTCCTGACTGATTTTTCTTCTGGCAAGACTGCATGTAAGATCTTTATATCAGCAAGGATTCTGATTATGTCTCCATTTAGATGAGTGTGATCCAAACCCGTGTTTGAACAGAGGCATCTGCGACCACGATGCTGATGGGGCCTTCAAATGTTTGTGCCCTGAGCCTTATTCAGGAAAAAAGTGTCAAACAGGTACGACTGTCCTCCTGTGCTCATTTAGCCACAAATAAACAGTTGAGACTGTAATTTATGTGAATACCCAGAAAATATGTATTTTGAACTCTTGTGTGTCAGTTTCTTTGACATACATACATACATTTTTCCAAGACTACTACTGTTTTTTCTACTACATATAAGAACACCATACAGGTCAGAGTTTCATTTACTCTCACTATTTCTTAATTTAATTATATGAAATTCTCAGATTTAAAAGCATTAAAATGCCTTGAGCATAATATTACAGACTTTACTTTTCTTCTCCATGCTGTTTTTTTCACCTTTCATATTAAAGCTTCATGAAGGATTGGAATAATTGTGACTCTGGTGCCCCCTGGTGCTAGTAACAAAAGTTATACACAGTAATTGTAATAAACACATTTTAAAAAAGTATGATTATGTGTGTAATAACTTAAAATCAACAACAAAATTAATGTACCGTGTGTTTTTTCAGTGAAAGATGTTTGCAAGAATGTGAAGTGTGGCCATGGAAGCTGTGTCATCACATCTACTGCTCCATTCTACGAGTGCAAGTGCAAGGCTCCTTTCAAACCACCCAACTGCAAGAAAGGTCTGCTTTACTGGAGCTATAACTTGTTTTCTCATTATATTATATGCACTGGACATCACTTGACACTGATCTTGTTGCATGCATTCACAGCCTCCTCCTGTAGGCCCGATCCCTGTCAGAATGGAGGCTCTTGCGTAAAGGGCCCCAAACGCTCCTCCTTCCACTGTTTTTGCCAGGATGGATTCAGTGGAAAGTTCTGTGAAGTTGGTAAATATGTTGTCCTAAATAGTAAGCCCACGCTTTAAAGCTCGCTCTCATCATCTGCAGCTAAAGGGAAACCTTCGTTTTTCTAGGGCCAAACGATTGTTACCAAGAGGACGGAGAGTTTTACCGTGGCATGGTGAGTGTAACAGTTGAAGAGGAAGAGTGTCTGGACTGGAATTCTTATTTCATCCTGCAGAAAGGGGGAGATCCCTTCAAAGAGTATGCAGGTTTTGATGGAATTGGGCCACACAATTACTGCAGGTGAGGAGTTATCTTGTGTAAATATTGCACATGTTTACTGTTGACATAACCGTATTTGTATTTAGCTGTGGACAGAGACGGTACACGTGAGGTATGTACTGCATGTCAGACAAAACTTTGTGTTTGCTGATGATTGTTTTTGTAAAACTCTGCAGCTTCTTTAAATGTTAGTTGTCAGTAATTAATTCATGTTAATAAATCCTTATAAATGTTTTACAGAATAAGTAAAGGGATGTTAAAATGCATAAATGAAAATGACCTTTGGGTTGCCAGGTTGTGAGTTAGTTTTATTTGTTGTATTTTGTAAAAAAAATTAAAATTATATTTTATATGAATACTTGCTTTAAAATGTGTGTATTCAAGGAACCCTGATGGAGACGATCAACCTTGGTGCTTCATTAATAAAAGTGACAAACTGAAGTGGAACTATTGTAAAGTTAGGAAATGTTCTGAAGGTAAAACACACACACATACACACACACACACGCACACTCACATACAGAAATATCGTGGCCTCCATAACTCTCATTTAATTTCCCATCCCTCCCAGCTGCACCAACCACACCAACAATCTATGAAACAGATCCAACTCCAGCCAAACCGGACGCCACTGTTACCCACTTCTCCCAATGTGGAAGGCCGCAGCCCGGCCGCTCGGCTAGGATCTTCGGAGGGAAGAAGTCTCTTCCTGGGGCTCATCCTTGGCAGGTTTCCCTGCAGACCAGATCCAAAGGCTTCTCTGGGCCCTTCAGCCACATCTGCGGGGGCATCCTCCTCGAGTCCTGCTGGGTGCTTACGGCTGCACACTGCATGTAAGCTCCTGGTATCTGTGTTGTTTTGGTGCATAGAAGTAGTTTCAACACTGTTTTAATTTGTACATGGACACACTCACCTGACTCTCTTGGGGGGCGGTTTGATTTTCTGCAGTAAAAGCGGAATGGAAATGCAGGTGGTGCTGGGAGGAGTGGACATAGAGAAGGATGAAGTATACGAACAGGTAATTCCAGTGGAGAAGGCCATTGTGCACGAGGATTACAAGGAGAGTCCCTTTGCTCTTCATAATGATGTTGGTGAGAAAAAAAAAATCTAAGTTATTCACTTAAGTACTCAGTTAAATGTAATTAAAGTATCCACTTAAAATGGAAACCAGTTTTTTTATTCTGTGCATCGTGAAATTAAATGTACTGATATACAGTATTTCACAGTTCTTTGCTTTGTGCCTCCACTGTGCAGCCATGCTTCAGCTGAAAGTCCTGGACAAACCCTACTGTGCCAAAGAAACCCGCTTTGTAAAGACCGCCTGCCTGCCAAACCAGGTCTTTGACAGTGGGACCGAGTGTGTGATCTCAGGATGGGGCGCGACTGAAACACGTAAGCATGATTTGAATCTGCACTTTAAACTACAGGCTGCGTGACAAACTGACATAACATAATGATCAGTATGAGTTAAAGCTACAGAAGGTAACCTTTATCAAATATATATATTTTTTTCTCATAGTGGTCCTAATGGCCTTTGCTAGAATCCACCATGCCTTAACAAAAACAACCAATCAGAGCTGAGAAACATATAGTGGAGAAGGATATAGTGAAAGTTTCAGCAAATATAAAAAACCCCTATTTTTTATAAAAGCTACCGACTGCAGCTTTAATGGTAGGGGTTTGGGATGTAATCTGGTAGTTTGTATTTGGTCAAAGGGAGTTTAAGTATATTTGAGTTCAAATAAAGCGACTGAATCGTGCAGAAGTATTTTTAAGAACATAAAACAAAATGAAAAGCCCAGTTAATGAGATTAAACCAATAAAATGGAAAATGTTTTGAACTTTGGCAGCTCATGGATTTTCATCCAATTCACCTAGACCTATATCACGCATTTACATCGGAAAACAGGGTAATGTATTTCTACTTGGTCATTTCAAGTGCTGTAGTATTGTATTGATTTTCTAAATGTCAAAATATTAGTATATTAGTAATTATTAATAATAACCGCCACAAAAATGTACCAAATAGTAAAATAGAAGTCTGCTTCACAGAGTCCTTTAAATATTTACATAAGCACAAATCTTCTTTAGAACACTTAATGTAAAGAGTAAAAGGAAAATACTCATGCAGAACCTTAAGTATTTGTTAACTGTGTTCATACGTCAACCACAAATCAAGGTTTCATACCAAAATACCACTTTATGCATATAAACTGTAGCAAACAAAAAGCAAAAATCACAAAGTACAATCACAATGTTGACACTGAAGACAAGAATTAAGAGACTAAGCTTCTTTATCTCCAAGCACATACATTTGAACATAACAGTTCTGTCTCTCTTCCTGTCTCAGAGAAGTACGGTACCAACCAACTGCTGGATGCTCGCGTCCTCCTGATCTCCCAGGAGAAATGTAAAGCTCCCCACGTTTATGGAAACTCGTTGGATGACAGCATGTTCTGTGCAGGCAACATGAAAGGAGGCGTGGACTCCTGCCAGGTCTGTGAGAGATTTGATTTTTCTTTTTATAAGAGTATTCATGAGAATAAAAAAAGAGAGAGAGACCTAATAAAAACCTCCCCTCTGTGCCCTGCAGGGTGACTCTGGCGGCCCTCTGGTGTGTGAGCGTAATGGGACCCACTATGTTGTCGGTGTGGTGAGCTGGGGTGACGGCTGCGGCAAGAAGTACAAGCCTGGTGTCTACGCCAACGTCCGCAGATTTATTGACTGGATCGCTTATCATTTACTCTCATAAGGATGCATATGGCCATACTGTACTGTATATGTGATTTACAGACATGCTGCCACTGACTCTGTAATGTCTCTGTTTTGTCAATAATACACTTTTCCTTTTTAAAATTTAGTTAGAAAATGTTTGTCAAAACTTTCACTCCATCCACAGAAGAACACATTACCTCATATGTATTAGTGTTTTAACTCATGTATACCTCACTGTTGTGTAATTACATACATATTTCAATGCTAATGTTCTTGTAAGCATGCTTGCAGCAACTGTTAATAAAGCTAACTATAAAATGTACACAAAGATTACTGAGTGAGTCTTGTAAAACAACACATTTATCAATAATCTTTGTTAATCTTAGGAGTTCATATTAAAATGGATAATCTATGATCATTATAATGATTAGTTTTAATAAGTAGAATGCAATGTGGTGCACTGGATGCATCGAAGACCATAATATGTATTTTTGTGCATGCATCTTTCTTGTCATTTAAGGTTTTATTCATTACAACTTTTTGACATTGTACAACATTTACCCATATAAACTTTTATTTAATTGGACTATAGCATGATAAGAGATGTGAAAGAAGGGTGAAAAGCTAAACAAGACCAAAGTCCTCAGGACAAAAGAACAATGCAGTCAATCAGAACAATTATCTCATATTCTGTTAATTAATATCACAAATTATCTCTAAAATGTTGCACTCCTGATGTATGTCAGACAATTATCCCAAAGTTTATTGTTTTTCTTTAGACATTATTGACCCTATCATATTAAAAAAACAAAACAAACATAGTCTCTATCATGAGTTTGATCAACTTAAAACAAAAAATAAAACTAATTGAAATATCAAATTATCTATCTATCCATGGAATGGCCCGGACAACGGCAGCCTGTCATGGCAGCTCCTTATTGTTGTAGTTTTAGTGTGTTTCAGTGTGTTTTGCTATTTGAACTCTTTCTACTCACTTTCACACTTGTTCATGTCGCCTAAATACTTTTTGGCGTTTTGAGCACTTTTATTTTTGTTTACGCTGGTCTCCAGGCAACGGGGAGTCGCATTGTTTTCACCCGCGACCAGATGATCGCCGAGGCCCCCTAGCATCCGACCGGAGAGAGACCCCCATACCGGAGGAGCGAGGAGGAGACGGTGAGGCGCAGAGCGGGGGTTAAACGGAGGATGAAGAAGAGGAGCTTTAAACTCACATCCCTGCAATCATCGAGCAGATACCGAACTCCATCGTCACCATTCCCGGCTTCCAGACGGTTCGAGCCGACAGGGACACCACCGCGACCGGCATGAAGAAAGGAGGGGGACTGTCCGTGCTCATAAACAACAGGTGGTGTAACGCCGGGCACGACTGTGTGAAAGAGCGTCTGCAGCCCGGACATCGAGCTCGTCGCCATCGGACTTCGTCCGTGTTGTCTGCCACGGGAACTTTCCAGTGTTATCACCATCACTGTCTGTATTCCTCACAGTGGTCTTCATCATCATCATCATCATCACTGTTTACATTTATGATGTCTTATTTATTCTCCTGTACAGCACTTTGGTCAACTTTGGTTGTTTTTAAAGTGCTTAACAAATAAAGTTGGATTGGATTGGATTGGATCTTTCACAGATACCATGTATTTTGGTTACTCAATATGAAAGAGTAGCTTTGTTTTTATTGTGATCTTACCAATAGTTTACCACGGCCACTGGGAATGTTGAAAAATTAATTCATTTGCCAAATTGTATGCAGTGTTTCTTGCATACCCTGTGTTTACAGCATGTTGCATTTTAGGACAGAATAAATAAGTCCATTACTAACATTATCTTTGGTGTACTATACATAATAAAAAGGAAAACAATGTCCTAAAACACACAAACTCCCACAGAATCTTACCTCTCAACATGTAAACTCATACTTCATATAATATTCACAGGTTAAAAAAATAGAAACTCCCAACTTGGCTTCATTGTTTTTGATATTTAGTGAGAGATATTTGCAAATGTGGGTTTTTCATGGTCTGATATCTAAAAAAGAAAGAAAATAATTGCAAAAAAAACTGAACGGATGCAGAGTGAAGGTTTGTTGAGAAAGAGTTTAAAGTTGAGATTGACAACCTTCGTATTAATGCAAATAAAACAAGGTTAAACACATGAAACTAGGTTGCACAAGCAATGTCCTAAATCACACAAACGCCAACATAATCAATACGGCTGGCTAAAGATTGACATGTATGAGGGATCAGTAGTATACTGAGGAGGTTTGGGAGACTGAAGTCAATAACTGGATCTTCAGTCTTGTACGTTGTGCTGAGAGTTACACACAGCACCATGCTGGCTGCAGGGGTCTTCTTGCTCATAAGTGTCCTAAGTGTTCACGGATATGACCCGAATGTAAGTTTTTTAACATCTTTGAAGTTTGACTCATAAGAAAAAGAAAGGTTTCTCTGAGAAAGAAAGCTTGTTGATCTGTTCTCTACTGTGATTTTGTCATTTCAGCTGGACGACGCCTATTGTAAGAATCCTTTCTGCAGTTCATCTATGTGGTGACACAAAGTTTCAACTATTGACTTTGACTTTGTTAGGATGTGTTTCATATTTGTCTTTTGGCTATTTGGTTTTACATTTTTAGAGACACAAGATATTTTGTTGTATATTATTTCAATGTATATACATATATAGAATAGTTTAACCTTAATGTGAGAATGAGTAGTGGATGATTATCTATGATATTAGATGATATTATCTGTTTTGTTTTCCCTTGACTACTGTCTCTTATTTTGATTAGTGTTTTCCATTTGTTAATTGGTCAAAAGTTTTAAGTTATAATTTTTTGTTATTACAATATCTATAATAACAGCTCTCTGTTGTTGGCAGACGTAGATTATGAATATGACTACGCCACCGTCAGCCCTAGCACTTCTTTTAATGTAGGCGACTGGCTGTTTGATCTCCTGCAGGAGACGAGTAAGTGGCCCCGGAAGACTCACTATGTGATTGTGTTGCCATCTTACCTTTCAACATGTAAACTCATTCTCTATCCCTCTATTTCCAGATGTCTGTAAACCAGATCCTTGCTTCAATGGTGGCTTGTGCCAAAGTAAATTCAACACAGAATTCACTTGCTTATGTATTGAGCCTTACATTGGCAAGAGGTGTCAAAAAGGTAGGAATTCCCAACTTGGCCTTCATTATAAATTAAATTTGTAAAGCAATAGAACTGCACTCATTATTTTTTTTTTAAATTTGCATTCTCAGTTAATATTCTGATTGTTTTGGGTTATAAAACCTAAAATATATCAAACCGTTTCATCGTATTCCAATATCTGAATGTTTGTTAACACTGTTCATATGTGGCTAATTTTTACTTTTGATAACCTGTTTTGAATATTTAGTGAGAAATGTTTGCGAGAATGTCAAATGTGGCCGAGGTGACTGTGTCGTCAACCTAAAAAAACCTCCATTTTATGAGTGCAAGTGCAGACCTCCCTACCAAGGCCCCGACTGCAAGTCATGTGAGTATCCTAAATCCCATCTTTCACAGTTAAAATTATTTTTTGACAAACTGAGCCGGACATTACATTTAGTACCTTGGTATGCAGAAGCAGGAAACAATTCCAGACTTGACACTCATATCTGCACAGTAATGAAGTCATATCAACTTATTATGATTCAGCTTTACCAACCAGTACTCAGACTGCTCTGTCCAATTTCAAATAAAGAATACCAAAAAAAAAAAAAACATTAACCATGTCTTTAAACAGTATTTTCTTTGCCTAAAAGGATCCCTTCAGGACATATTTGATCCCTAGAGAGGATCTGCAAAAAAACTTAGTAGGAAAGTAGATGTTTTTGCAAAATGGGGCCCAAAAACCAAAAACAGAAACCAGGGGTGGCCAGCATTCTTTGAGGGCCCCAGAATCCCTTGCTGCACCCCTGCTATTGTGCACTATTTAATTGTTTTTGTCTTATCTGTATCAGTGCCAGCATCACCCTGTGAACCCAATCCTTGCCAGAATGGTGGCTCTTGCAAGACAGGAAACCGCCGCTTCCGCTGTACTTGTCCTAATGGATATATTGGGAAGTTCTGTGAAAACGGTAAAGACTTTAAAACGGCCAGAGTCAGCCACCACTTTTACTGTTGTTCCTGATGCTTAAGTTGGTGTTATTTACTTTGAATGAAAAAAAAGTTCAAAAGTGCCATTTCGCAGAATCTAACAGCATATTGACCGATTATGGGAAGCCCCAAAACCACTTTGTCCTCAGCAGTCTGTATCTTCTGTAACACATTGAAAAACACAGCTTAGTTATTAGATTTTCTTTGTTTGTCTGACTGTTTTGATTTTAATTTGTGTTTTTGGTTGTTAAAACAGTCCTCTCCTGTGTATTTATTTTTGACATTTTGAGCTTACTTCAATTTGCCTCTCATACAATCTTCTTGTATAGCACTCAGTGACTGTTATGTGGGAAATGGAGAGACATACAGGGGTGTTGCCAGTATGTCAGAGGACGGGCAGGAGTGTCTGGACTGGCACTCCTACTTCATTGTGTCAAACGGGGAGGACCCTTTTACCATGTACTCAGACTTTAACGGACTGGAATATAACAACCACTGCAGGTATAATCAAATTATATTGACTTTTTCCATCAGTTAGACGTTTATTTTAATTTATTAATATGTTTTTTTAAATTTCAAATCCTTATGTGAGTTTCAGCCCATTCATTCAAGGTGGATTCACTTTGGGAGATGGGTAATCTTACCACTGGGGGGCACCAAAGTCAGAAATATTCCATAAGTACACCTACAGCATTAGTTTACATGTTTATTTCTCAATCCATACCCTCATATGAGTCCTTAAATTATTATTAGTTAAATTAAATTATAATTGTTTGTGATATATATAACACTAATTGTTACTTTCTATCGGCAAACATTAATACGTTCCCTCTCAGGTACTTTTTGGCTGTTGGTAAAATTATATAAATTAATTAAATTAACCTCATAACTAAAAAAATTGGTTGTTTTGTTATTTATTCTACATTTTAGGAACCCAGATGGGGATGATAAGCCTTGGTGTTTTACAAAAAGACAAGGCAAACTGCAGTGGGACTACTGCAAAGTCAAGAAGTGCTCTGAAGGTTGTTTCACATACGCACAAACACACAGTATATACTATGTAATGTATTCCCGCACTGTTCTCACTCTTTTCTGATGTTCCTCAGTCACAGCCACTTCAGCGCCATCAGTCTCACCGGTGCCTGGATCCACCCAGTTCTCCCAGTGTGGGATATCCCAGCCCTCTCGCACTAGCAGGATTTATGGGGGTAGCAAATCTTTCCCTGGTGCCCACCCCTGGCAGGTGTCCCTGCAATCCAGACCAGAAAGCTCATCCTTTGAGTATTCCCACATGTGTGGTGGGATCCTCCTCTCATCCTGCTGGGTCCTCACTGCTGCCCACTGCATGTAGTTATTCTATTCTGTTTGCATTTCCAGTTTATTCATTATTATTCTACTATAAGCTCATGTTTTGTTGTTATTGTTTTTTTCAGTGAAGACAATATGGAATACCAAGTGGTGTTGGGAGGCGTGAACTTAGACAGACAGGAGGAGATGGACCAGACCATCCCAGTAATACAAACGATTCGTCATGAGAACTACAGGGAAACTCCCACCGCTCTTTATAATGACATTGGTTTGTCACATTTATCAAATATAGTGTCATTATTAACCTAGATAGACCATAGAGAAGAATGTAAGTAATATACAGATTTGGCAACAGTCTTTGTGTCAGCTAGTACGAAGCATCCTTTAGGCCTCAATCACACATTAGCTGACACATGTACAGTATACATAAAGTATATAGATGAACTTATATTACTTATATTCAAACCTTCCGGTCATTCATTCTTCTGTTTTTTTTTTTAATTTAACCGAAATTGTCACTGTTATCTTTATTTTTTCTGCATTCTAGGAATATAATGCTGTAAAAGTGATTCATAAATCAAATGAATGTCACTTCTTGTATCTGCTAATTTCCTGTGTAGCTCTGCTTAAGCTCAAAGTTACAGACAGCCCTTACTGTGCCAAGGAGACCCACTTTGTGAAGACAGTGTGTCTGCCGGACCAGACTTTCCCAGCTGGAAAAGAGTGTGTGATCTCTGGATGGGGAGCCACTGAAACCCGTAATTAACTATTTATCAAAAGTCCTTTCATGTGGTATAAACATTATTTTGACAAAGTATGAATTCAGCATTACATTTCCATGAAGTTGGAGGACTTGTAGTCTCAAACTCTGCACCTCCAGTTTGTAACTCATCACTATGACATTATTATTATTTTTTAATGCTCGAAGGTTCGCTACAAAGCTACAGAAGACATTATACAACTGTATTTAGAGGTTGATGAGTATTCATCATGACAACATAATAGATGTTCATGTGTGAAATTGGTGGAGTACCTTTTAGCTTGTCTTTATGGCATTTTCTCAAATGATTTTTCAGTTTCAGTTTTGTAATGCTGTGATTAGCTCTTTAAATATTTTTTTTAGCCAAAAGACATTTTTTTACATTCTGACTTGTCATAGCAGGAAAACGAAATCACATTAATCATGCAACAGTAAGCCATGACAGTGTGAAAGTGAACTAGCATTACTAACTCTAGTACCCTGAAACTGAAGCAGCTAAATTTAATTCAGTCAATTTCATTACACCTCTGTAATAAACAATAACATGTCAAAATGTCATCAGTGAAAGAGCTCCTTTAGATCTCAGTTTGTTTCTCACTGTCATCCACTTTTCAGAGAGGTACAGCAGTCAGCTGTTGAATGCTCGAGTTTTCCTGATCTCTGATGAGCGATGCAAAACTCCTCAAGTCTATGGAAGTGTACTAGACAGCAGCATGTTCTGTGCAGGGACTTTGCAGGGGGGTGTCGACTCCTGTCAGGTGTGTATGTTTATGAATTTGAAGAATCCACATTTAAGGGCTGTTAATACATTTGCATAGCTGCCATAGCTGCCCCCAATGTGTTGGGTGTTAAGATTGAAGATGACATATTTTAGATTTTTTGGCACCACTTGTTACATGTGAAATATGCATTAATTATTTCCCCTGTGGCCTTAACTTGCACCTTCTAACTCTACAGGGCGACTCAGGTGGACCTTTGGTCTGTGAGCAAAATGGCACACAATATATCACTGGTGTGGTGAGTTGGGGCGACGGCTGTGGTCAGCAGAACAAGCCTGGTGTCTACGCCAACGTCCACTCATTTATCAGCTGGATCAAAAGCAAGATCAACTGAACATTAGTTAATTGAACTACTGTGGGTCTGTAATCATTGTGGGGTTGTTGGGGAAGAAAAACATACCTCAGCTTAGTTTGCCTTTAAAAAACAGTTTATTTTATCAGCAATAAAACCAAGCATTTACTCCCAGCCCAGCTTTGAGTTAAAAGGGGCACTGATACAAACTCACGAAGCTGAACCTGCCAGACAAAATGTAGATCGCTCATCATTTCAGAAGGCCTCTACTTCTTTCTCACTGAGCCTAGCTCAAAGTGCACTAGATTTGCAGACCCCGTAATAGAACCGCATGTTTTGCAGGGCAGCGACAAGGTTTTGTTTGCTCACTTGACCTTGTTGCATGTGTTCTTCTAAAAATAAAAATAAAACAAATGATGAAAAAAAATCCTCTGCAGTGCTGGCTTTATAGCAATCTCTGGTCCAGCGTCACATGATCTAAACACACTCAATATACAAAAGCAAAATGCAAACTTTCCATTTGATATTTCATACAGTATCACCTTTGTGTTATAATAACCTGAATTCAGTTTTGGTATCCTTGATTTTTCTTGCTCTAACTGGTGTTGAACATGGTCCTTTAGAGGCAATTTAACCCATTCAGAAGTTTTAATAAAATGTCAAAAAGTACCTTGCATTCGACTTTCAGAATTCCCTTTTGCTCACCACATACCACGACAATCCTTTTAACTAACTTGACTAAAGTCCTGTCCTGATTTAACATGCTTAATCCTTCTGTAATCATTTTAACTACATTTTCCAGTTCATTGTTGCACCTACAGTATCTCTGTTTGACATTTTTTGTGGCATTTCATGTAACTACAGAGTCACAACAGTCGTTTCATCAAAGTAGATACCACACATACCACTTAGTATTAGTTAACCACAATTTCTGAAAATGGCCGTCTTTAACGTTCTCTACTCACTATCATCTATAAAAACCTCTTGGTTCTACGCGTCTTCAATTGCAGCAGCTTTACTAGACGTGGACATCTTGATTGTGTTCTGGAGTGCAGCCGATGAGGAGGTGGAGGAGGTGGTGCTGGACTTCTTCTCCATGGATTTGAACGAGGTTGTGGTGGAGGTGGACTTTTTCTGTACGGTCTGGATGGTCTTCTTCCTCTTGACATGAAGGACCTCCATGGCGTCCATGTTGACGCCTTGTTGAATCTCCTCGCTGGTCTCCACCTGCTCTGAAGCCTGCTGCTGCTGCTGCTGCTGCTGCTCCATCTGCTGCTGGTGGTGCAGCTAAAAAAAGGACGGGGGAGTTAAAACAACACCTGCACACTACATTGTTATTATATAGAAATTAATCTCCACTTTCCCTCACCATCATCGTGTGCTGATACTTTGCAATAGCCTCATCAGTGCTGACTCCCTCAGCAAACCCTAGTTCTGCAGCCCGGCGGGCGAGCTCGGCCTTGTGGGAGCCAGGAGGGGTCCAGCCCACTCCTTTGATCCAGTTCAGGTCTGACTTGTAGTTCACCTGCAACAGAAGGGAGCAACCATTCGAGTGGTGAAATGATACTGTAACAAACAAATTTGTTGAAGTGGGCCTACAAGAATGTGGTGGAGTTATCCTATTTCTGTTTCTCACGAGTGATCTGATTTAACCTTCAGGGATCCCCAGGGAAAAATAAGCTGTGGGACCTAATTGTATTACTTCTTTGTAGTTTCAAAATAAAATATTTTAAAATACTAGTGTAAAATTGTAAAAATTGATTAAAAAAAACAATTTTAAATTAATTGAGCATTATACTGATGCAACGTTTGAAATGTGTTGCAAGTGTCAGCGCTTGTTCCTTAGACCAGTCCCAAAAACCAACCAGTATTTCTACACTTGAATACGATCCTTCCCCAGGTTTGACATACAGCAGACAAACAATTGCATACAGTCAAATATTCACTCTCCTTTTAGCTCCTCTATAAGGCCATCAAGATTGGATAAATTCCATCAACAACTCTAGTGTTGTATCATTTTAATCTTTATTTTTTCTTTATTGTGTATAACAAAAACAAATAACCTATGCCAGAGAACCTAGGACCTTCTCAATAAAATCATATGATTTAAAGGATTCCTCATTGTCACATACATAGATATAGTGAATAAATGTGAATTCAATTATGACACTGGTTGTTGCAAAGCCACCTTCAAACCAATATATGACTTACATCACTCTGCAGTTTGTAGGCCTGCTTGGCATGCTTGACATTGAGCTGCTCAGGGTCACAGGTGTAGTCGTGGAGCTTGTGGCGGTAGGTGAGGTCACTAGCCTGAGCCTGACTCTTTTTGGCCTGCAGGAACTCAGGCTGGTCAGCATGCATTTTGAAGTGGCCCCGATCTTCCTTGGACTGGCGTTTATACTCCAGGTTGCTCTGGAGTTTGCTGGCTGCCAGAGAGTGCACCATCTTGGGGTCATCCTCCACACAGCGCAGCCCCACCTGCTGGCCCTTCTCCTTCAGATGGGACTCCTTGTAGCGGACCTATAGGAGGGAGAAACAGAAACAGTTTTCAGTTGTTGTTGTGACAAGATGTAGTTTTTAGGGGTTAAAAATAACAATGGATTAAAATTACCTGCAACTATTTCAGAATGCTCTGCCTTAAAATGAGTTATGCTAATTGTTCTACATCCAGAATACATGAGCAAATCTTCCTAACTTCTGTAATAAATCTTTTGGATTTGAAAAGCTTGAGAATTACTTTCTGTAGAAAACTTCTGTAAGTTTAAGATAAAGAGGCCTGACTGTTTTTTCACCACATTAGGAAGTACTATTTAAAAAATAAAAGGTGCATATACAATAAGTCCCAATGTGTGCTTCAAAAATGTTTCAAGACAGACTGAAGGGACTCAAACTGTGTGACAAACTATACTCAATCACATGAACTCACATCACTGGCAATTGCTCTGGAGGCCTTGGCAGTTTGGAAGGGAATAGCATCCAACCTCAGGTCATAGCCTGATGTCTTCACTTGCTCCCCAGATGACTTGTAAACTTTCTTCATTGGAAAAGAGTTTTAAAGATAAAAAGGTCACAAAGTGATTTTGTCTTTTATATATCTCCATGTATCATTTGCTTGTATTTAGGATTGTGAGAAACTGGCTTACATCGCTAATCTGCTGGGCGTTCATCTTGGCTCTGACAAAGTCTGGATCATCTGAGTGTAAAGTGTACTTGTGCATGTCATCATTCTTCCCGGATTTGTACAGCCTCTGTAGTGTAAAAACATGACCAATATTGTCATTAGCAGCCAACAACATCCAGAATTTTTGCAGTAGAACAACAGAAGTTCCTTAAAGTAGAAAGAGACATAAGAATGTTCATCTTTTCTCCCCACCTCACTGCACTGTTGATAGCTTGTCTTAGCGTGGAGGATATCAGGAGAGTCGGCCACTGAGGTGAATCTCAGGCTGTCTGGCAGCTGACGATACTTCTTCTGCATGAAGGAAGACCACACACACTTTAACAGTAGGAAACACGGATGGACTGAGACTTGTTGTGTTACAATGAGAATGAAAATATACTATCAGCTAAAATTCTGTGAACAGATATGGTCAGTGGAAAGTGCAGCATTACAATAGGTTCCAAGAATCAAATGTCTCCCCTGCTTTTTTACTGCTACACACTTTCATACAGCAACACTAATGCTACATTGACTTAAAAGGCACATACAGAGCAATAAAACACACACATATAAAATCTATCAATGTATAGGTTTTTTCATAAAACAACATTGTATACATGCAGAATGTGACTTTATATGCAATCAGGGCCATAGCTACCATTAAGCAACCGGCAGGAGTTTAATCAAAACATTTACAAATGAATGGCATTTTATGAGCAGATTGCACTATTTACAGATGCAATATTTCTTAATTAGACATTTTTTATGCCAATAAAATAATAAATAAACTTAGCAAACAGCATAATGTTATTTACTGTCTTCATGTAAGGAAATAAAATATATGAAGTTACATTGACAACATTGAAAATTCCAAATAATAACAAAAAGATTTAAATATTTTTTTGCTTTCTGCTCATAATATTGTGAGGGTGGTAAGACAATTGCTGGGAGACGCATGACCTCAGTATTGTCAAAATCCTGGTTACAGCCCTGTATGTGCGAACAGACATGCACCCAAATAATACCATTTGCCACATTTACTCACATCACTTATAAGTTCTCCAGCCTTCTTAGCCGACTCCAGCTGGGGTGCACCCACACCGTCCCAGGCCACTCCTTTCATGAAATTGAGGTCTGACTTATAGAGTTTCTTGAGATAAAGAAAAAAAAAAAAGTCAGTCAAGTTGATTCATCCTTTTTTTTTATGCTCATATCTCCTCCTCATCCACACCTCTCACCTCACTCTGCAAGTTGTAAGCCGTTTTGGCCCACTTGACCTTCATGTCATCGGGAAGCACTGTGTACTCATGCAGTTTCTTCCTGTAGTCCTGCTCGCTGGCGAGGGCCTGGGCATTCTTAGCCGTCACCAGGTGAATCATGTCTTGGGTGAGGTGGTACTGCCCGCTGGTTGTCAGTGCATCCTTGCGGTACTCCTGGTCGCTGGCCAGCCGGCCCGCCTGCAGGCAGTGCACGAGACGCGGGTCGTCCAAGACGCTTTTAACCCCGATGTGCTTCCCTTTTTCCAGCAGGTGGTTGTGTTTGTAGTTGTACTGCAGAAACACAGAAGTAATAAAAATGTAATGTAAATGTAAAATGTGGCTTGATGTAACTCAATAAGAAACATCTATATATTTTGATGCAATTCAGTGTAGTAGCCCTGCAGCAAGTCCTACTTTTCTGATGCTTAGAAAGCACATTTTTTAAACTCACAGAAGGCTGTAGTTTGTTATGTTGCTGTACTTGGTTGCATTATTCTCTTATATTGCATTATATGCATTTTGTACATGTGGTCTCTCTTTAAGTGGATCATTTTGGCGAATATCAATCTATATCAGTCAGTAATGATATTTCTGAGTCAAGTATGATCTTACATCACTGGCGATGCCTGTGGAGCTCTTGGCGGCCTGGAAGGGGATGTCCTGCATGGTGAGTTTGTAGCCCTGAGCCCTCAGAGTGTGCCAGGACTCTTTGTACTTGATCTGGAGCAGAGAGACAAACAACCAACAATCATTAATTGTATAATAACACACTCTATGAAAAAATAAGTCACAGATGTTGACAATATATTGTATGGTGCACAGGTCAGTACCTCACTAAAGTTGGCTGCATTGATCTTTGCTTGCGTAATCTCTGGTCTCTCACTTGTAATAGTGTAGTTGTGCTGGTCGTTCACCCCTTTCTCCTTGTACAAACGCTGGTAGAGAGGGATAAAACACATCATTTGAAGTCTTCCTAAATAACAGCTTAACTGAGCAATAAAAAAACAAATAGAAAATCTGGGTAAAGGCAACTGGGAGAGAACTAAAACAATAAGGTGACTGTCTCACTTCATTTGTGATCTGTCCACTGAGTTTGGCATGGACGATATCTGGAGAGTCAGCGACAGAGGTGTGCTTGAAGTTGTATGGCTGCTGACGGTACTTTTTCTGTTATAGAAGAAAGAACAAAGTTAGTGTTTGTTAATTTTTAGTTGATTTCATGGTAAAAAGTCAAGATATGTGTGATT